AATGAAGAACAGTAATTACTCTAGCCCATTTCACACACACAGTTTATCCTGTCATTGGTTTTAATAATTGGCCCTGACCACAGTCATGTCTGCCCTGCAACACAGCATCTTGTCTTTTTGTAATGGTCCGCTAGTATTGTTCCCTGCAATTTAGCCTGGTGTCGAGGTAGGGTATAAGAGTGGTTAAAGTACAGAGAAAAAGAGAAACTGGTAAGGAAATACATTTACTTTTTTTTTTTTTTTTTTTTTTTTTTGATGCATGGAATCCAGAACTTTTCAAAGCCAATTTAACCATCCACAGGAAATACAGGAAATTCACAAGTTGCTTAGTTAAAAAATGAACTCAATCATATTTGCCACAGGGAATCTCAGTGAGAATTTTGATACCCGAGATCCCGAGTTGGTCGTGCCATAAACTTTAAACATGGTTGACTGGAGAATGATTGCTGCTGTGACTGGTATTCTTTATTAGTTATTTTTTTCATAACAGCTATCACCTTTTCTTGCTGTTAATATATTTTACGTAGCCTATTTTATTATGAAGTGTATTGTATGTTTTATACACAGCGAAAATAGCCTGTATGAAATTCCAGAATTGTCAGCAAGCTGACTATCTAGATAGTGCAGCTAATGTTCATATAGCTGTCAATGAATGGGACATTAAATATCATTTTGGCTTTAAAAAGATTTTCCCAATAAATAGTCAAGAATAAACCTGGTCCCTCAATGATTCCTGCTCTTTCCTACAACAAAGCACTTGAATGCGATACGCTCGCAATCAAGACTTCAGAAGTGGGAAGTAGGAAATTTCCGACATGAAGGCAGCATAATTTTACTTCCTAACCACCATGGATGTTGACCTTTGACCCTTAGCCATAATTTTATGACTGTTGTCTTTCTTATGTCACAGTGGCTGCGTCTGAAATCGCATTCTCTTAAGTACTGCTTTTTAATTAGTAATTACTTTGTGACTGTTTAAAAAGTATGTTCTATGTAGTATGAATGGGTGCAGTCATATTACATTTGTCATGTCTACCAGCTTAGCTGCAGCATCGTGTGATAGTAAAGTGTCCATCAGTTTCACACTTATGTTTAATGAATACTGTGAATTCGGACATAATACTCTTTTCTCATACAGTGCAAGTAGAGAAGTATGTTATTTCGGATGCAGTCTGTTTTTATTGTATGACAACATAGAAACAGACAAACGTGATAATGCACCCTGAAATATCGATTTTATTCCAGTGGCCAGATGTGTAACTCTCTTAAAATGAATCATTTTGGCAGGGAAAAAAACACATATAATGATTATTGCCTTATTTTGAAGTCAAAATAATCCCTGAGAAAATGTTCCTTTGTGATTAGACAATTCCTGCATCAAAGCGGTTAAACTAATACAGTGTGTCAAAACCTTAATGATGAGGACAATCATTACCCATCTGAATCAGCACATCTCGCTTTGAAATATGCAGCGTTTTGCCTCATCTGAACCATGAAAACGCAGTTGTTTTATTAAACTGAATGTTCTGGTCGGGCCAGAGAGCTTCAAATCACGGCTATGAATTTTGATGCCAGTCGGAGGGCCAAGTTCAGTTATTACATGTGGTTCTCATTAAACTCAGCAAATGGGAATAAAATATGTCTTTTTCAGCGCTCCGATGTACAGGTGGAGAGGGAGACATCTGTCTAGCGATGGAGTGTGTGCATTTGTAATAAACCGAAGTGGACTTGTTCTGGCCTGTGCATTGCAGTCAGTGATGTTTTGGGAAAAAGAGAAGAAAAAAAACATCTTTTACACGTAAATTAGAAGAGATTTTCTGGAAAATGTTGACTTTGATAGTGTGTGAACACTGTTTTGAACACACTGTAACCATGCTTTTTTTTTTTCATCTCCATAATTGGATTTTGTTTTAGAGCCACAAATGCAGTTTTATATAACCAAACAATGTTTGTAAGGCAGCCACAAAACATACTACAAGACGCCTCATTGAGCTTGTCTAGTCAGCCTTGACTTGTTGAATGGCATCTGAAAAGGGAGCCAAAAGCATTCCTCATACTCTGCCTTACTCCTTTTGCTGTTTTGCTCTTTAGCTCACACTGACAGCCATCGATTCCTTGTTTATTTTTCGTACTTTTGTTCAGACAGAGCAAATTACAAGAGAAAAAGGACATTTGCAGCTTTTTTTTCTTTTTTTTTCTGCAAAGAGCACAAATGTGCCACACTAGCTTATGATTAAAGCAGCTTTAGTGTGTATTATACCTCCCGGAGTGCTTTAGATGTTCCTCTGCCATGCTAAAAGCATGGTTTTTTTTTTTACCGTTGCCATCATTTTTACCAGCATTACAAGGATTTGTTAACCATTACATAAAGAAATTCAAGACTAAGTCGACACAGCCATGCTCTGCTGTTTATTTTGGCCGCACTCAGGCTGATTATGTTTCTCAGCTTGACCTCTGATTGGTACAACGAAGGATCTCGGATCTCTTTTAATTGAGCAACGAACTGGAAATGACCCTTTTCCTTTCGTCACATACATGATTAGATATCTCCATGGCACATTACACGGGATCCTTCTTCATTACATGTCCGATTGGAGCTGTCATTGTGTCATATAAATGGACATGGTACTGCTCACGCTTATCAAATCATATTAGGGGCCAATTTATTCAGCAATGTCGCTCTAACATTACGACTCGGTTTTATTATAGTAGAATTACGTGATCCAGATCTCCAGTCAGGATGAATAACTGAGTAAATGAATAAGAGACTAAGTTAAGGCGGGCGTACACTGTGCGAGTACGGACACTCGGGAGGTCGTGAGCCATTGATAATCAGTTAACAGATAATCGTGTCAAAGCAACTGGTACACGGCACTACTGTACTGCACGGCGAGCCAGCGGCAATTCATGCTAGACACGGAGACTGGAGCTTCCAATGTTGCTGCTATAGCTTCAGATAGAAAAAGGACAAAAAATTAAAAGACAAGTGTGGAAATGATTTTGTGAAAAGACAACTAGAGAGTCTATTTGTATGTGTGTCACTCACTGGGCTATAATAATATTCATAGATCTAGTGTATGTGACGTGGTTGTGTATGATTTGGGGACAGCTAACATGTTTAAAAATTGTCTAGGGGTGCTCATAACTTGGCTTGGCTCGTAATTCCTCTCACACAGTTTGAGCCGCGACCATAAAAGCATCAACGATTTCCACACGATTTCTCCTGAGAGAATCAAATCGCCTGCAAGCTTGTACGACAGCAAAAGTCGTACCGTGTACACCCGTCTTTAATGATTGTATAGAATTAAAAACTGTTAAATGAATGATCTTACTTGTAACAAATGTGTATGCTAAAATGACGTAATTTAGCAGACGCATTTATTCAAAGCCACTTATAGGAACCGTGCCCCTGAAGTAATGTGGGGTTACACTTTATTTTAGTTGTCCATGTTACAGTATAATTATACATTGAAGTACTGAGTTATATTAATTAACTACATGTACTTACTATATGGTTAGTAGATGTAATTATGCATAATTTGTAGTTATTACTATATTAACTACATATAACGTGTTTCAAGGACACTGTAAAATAGTGTTACCACGTGTGGTTAGGCGTCTTGTCAATGATGCAATAGTAAAAATTCATGGATTGTCCCTGACTGGGCTCAAACCTACAACAGTGTTTAAGCCAAGGTCATTATCCACTACGTCACAGCACCTAATATTGTACAACAAGTGCTCCTTAGATGAGGATAAACAAATCACAATTAATCTTAATAGAGTTTGGTAAAGTGCTATTTTTATCTATATACTATTAAAGTATTTAAAGGTGCATTGCGCAACATTTCATGTTAAAAATACCTGTTTTTCTAACCCATACATGCTTAAACAATTGCCTGATGGGCTGAATGAGCCCTTCTCTGATCACTGCGATTGCCTCTATAATCCTGTACAGTAAAATAAATAAGAGGGATTCGGGCCGGAACGTGAGACTGGGCGTGACGTCATGCGCGTTCACGCTCCCCTGGCTATGTCTGGCAGGTTTGTGTATTCGCCGCCATTCTCCGTATTAGCGAAGACAACTCGAGCGACAAAACTTCAGTCAACTTTCAACAAAAGTAGAAGATGGATTCAAAGAGACCGGCTTGTAGTTCATAAACCCAAACGCAAACTCCACGCAAGACAAAGACAGTAAGGCAGTTTCGCTTGTCGCCAAAGGGGGGCATAGTTCTGCAAAAACTCAGAGAGGTGCGCAATGCACCTTTAATAATGTCTTGAATTAACTTTTATTTTTACATTTTAGATTCTTCTGTCATTTTATTTGTTTTTAATACATTTCTATTTAGTTATTTAAAATTTGTTTTAGTAATCTTAATGCTTCAACTAATTTTATTTCAGCTTCATTTTAATTAATAAAAATGTTTTGTAATAGTTTTTGTTTTAGTTAACAATTACAACACTGTTTTGGCGTTAGCAAACTCTAATAAACAAATGCTTAGCACACACGAATATTGGGTAAAATATTGAATTTTAAATGTTTGTTATTAATACAATGTTGTATAGAATGAAATAAGTATATTATATTTTAAGCATTTTTATAATCCACATTATTAAATCCATTTTTGCATTAAGCTTTGTGCCTATGATGTCTTAAAGGGATAGTACACCCAAAAATAAGGGAGAGTCAATGATGACATAATGTTCATTTTTGAGTGAGCTAGCTAGGTTCAGAACTTTCCTGATATGTTTCTCATCGCCCTCTCACTCATTTCTATCTCTTTTGTACCAATATTCCTCCCCAGAGCGCTCAGGTATTCTGCTTCTTTGGCCGACGATGATGAGTTAGTTTCTTCTTATCACTTCCCGCTCTCTAACATACCTTCTCTTGCTCTCCTCATCTATGCACGAGTGAGTGCAGGAAAAAGTATTTTGTCCCTAGAGCTTTGAAAGTTTTGTCTTTTCTTTGTCTTGACCGTCTGCCTCTTTTTCCACTCCAGGAAGTTCCTGTCATAGCAACACGCTCCCCGCGTTGGTTCGGACTCCTTCTCTAATGATGCAGTCCGGTCTGGACATGAAGCCTTTCATGACCTTCCCTGTGGAGAGCTCCTCTCCGGTCGGCCTGTTCCCTAATTTCAATACGGTAAGCAAGCCTGCTTTCATCTCCCTTCTCTTGGCCGTCTGCCCCTTTAATGTTGGCCTCGTTCCTGTGTGGGTTGACACTGATGGAATTAAAACCTTCTCTGAAGATTCAGAAAAACATTGTATGGGTAGATAATGTTCTTTATGTTAAATATATATATCGTTCCTCACAAACTGCAGCTTGTGTGGTTGTTTAGAAGAGAGTCCAATAATTGTGTGCTAGCGGCTATTTAGAATGGCATACTACACTGGAGCCTCGGCCAAAAATGAGCCGTGAGGTTAGTAGACAGCAGGGAAAAAAACATTGCTGAATGCAAATAACAAAATTCAACTCGTCATATAAACCATGCATAGTTAGGACAGCAAAATAAACTGACTTTTCGAAGTTTAAAGGGTATTTTGCCATTTTTAATTTTGTGGCTTTGCAGAAACCTATAGAAACTTGCCAATCTAGGCAGATGCCAAAGTGGGCAGGTGGCATGACATGCCCTCGACTTCAAAAAATATTTTTGACCCAGACTATGTTAATTACACTAATGTTCATAAGTTTGTGGTCAATCATAATTAATTTTTTTATTTTAAAAAAATATATATATATATATTTTATTTAGATTTCTATTTCAAATAGAACTGTTGCTGGATAAACTAGGATGTTTGTGCCAGACACAAGGCGTTTGTGGGGGGAATTATTGTCCAAGAGCATAAAACCAAATTTTTCCAATTATCAAGCGTATAGCGTCAGTTCTGGCTGGTCACGTTAGTCAAGCTCGCATCAGGTGACTCTCGGCTGATCCACGTCTACCTATAGGAATACGACACCTATCACTGTATTCCTTCAGTATTATCAGCAGCTATCGCGTTCTCAGGAGCTTATTACCCTCCTCCATCCCCAGCTCCTCTCGTCAAGTCAGGATTTGGCATTCTGATTCCCCTTGAATCAGAATAAATTCTCAAATTATGTTGTACATTAAAATATTGACATTAATGATATCTGCAATACATTCATGTAGGTTCTGTTCTGTTTACCCTAAGGAGGGTTATTGCTGCTCTCCCTGCTCTTATCCATGCTAGACTGCATGGATGTGCTGGGAGTTCTTGCCCAGAACAGAACCATACCACGAATCCAAACTATATGCTAATGGTCAATCGTATTTGACGATAGTGGTCCTGACAGAATTGAGTATTGTTGGCCCTGTGCAGTAAGTGGCAATATTCATACATTTCAGTGAGAATTCAATGCCATTTGGGTTCTTTTTCAGCAAACGTTCTAATTCCAAGCGCTAGCACTATTTCTGACACGAAGAACAAATAGATTTGCAGCGGTCGCTTTTTCGCATCCAGTGTAGACACGGTGTTAGTTCACTTCTGGATCAACTGTTAGCCTATGTGGTCTATGTTTGTTTAAACATCCTCAAGCAGTGACTCTTTCTATTCCTTGAGCGTGGGCAAAAATGACAAAAAGCATTGCAGGCAAGTTGGTCATATTTGCTCACTCTATTCAACACGAAATCTGCTTTAGTTTTATTGTAACCTTGTATTATTCAGTAACCTTGATATTTAAAAAAGTAGCAGCATCAGATGTTCAGCTTATCATATCCGTTAATGGCAGTTTAATTAGTGATTTATTTTTTTATCAAAGTATGCAGCCCTTGTATGCAGTATATTCCATTCTGAACGTCGCCTGTGTGTTTGAGGGAAAGTCTGCAGACGTGTCGACCCCTCCCTCACGCATTGATTCTAGCCCCTGATCCAACCCCCAAAATGAGGGAGCAAAATCGATTTGTGCTTTTATCTCCCCAAACCCAGACTGCTGTGGTGATGGCAATGAAGGGAGACAGAGAGAGAGAGGCTGATGGGCTCTGAAATAGAAAGAAATTCAGTCTGAATTTGGGGCTTGTTTAACCGCCGGTTGTGTGTGCCACTGTGAACCTTCTTCTTCTTTCTTTTTGTGCCACTCAAAACCTTCTTCTTCTTTCTTTTCACTTTCTCCCTCTGTCTCTTTCACTTTCTTGTCACTCTTCTCACTCTCTGCTATGCACTGTCCTGCCCTGATTCAAAGTGACAGTTCTCTTTAAAGCGGTTACTGGAGGCTAAGGCTTGGGTCAGTGTGACACGAGGGTGGTGTGCCATTTAGAATTAAATTACAATCTCTTTTAAATGTCAGTTCAATTCTTAAATTCAATTTCATTTTAGATACCAAACAGGATGCAGTATTTAAATTTTATACATAACAAAATCATCCTCCAGAAAGTATATTGTAGTTAGATAATATTGAATTGGAAGTCAGTAAATTCTTCTTCCTGTTATTGCAGCCTGGAGAACTTCCTGTGTGGTGTTGCTAATTCAATTTAATTCCAGCTTTTGAGTTGAATTCTCACAGATCTGTCTGCAGTTGACCGCACTGTTTTTATGGCCCAGCACCCAATGGATTGCGCCAAAAATAAACAAATAAACACGGCAGAAGCTGTCATAATTACTGCTTGAATGTTGGTGCAAATCAAGAGGTTCTCCAGGCTGCAATCACGCCACCGCAAAATTAGCGTAATTATACCATCTCCCTACAAGGCCATCAAATGAATTATTTTCTCCTAATGAAGCTAATCCCTGTAGTCTCTGTTGAGCTTCCCAGGAACAGCATAGGCTAATGATAGTTAGTGGTGCACATGATTTGCGTGTATTTTCGGAGGTATCACTTGATCAGCGCTGTTGTTTGTTTGTCTCTTATACTGATCTCACCTCTTCTACCTCTTGTCATGCTGATTCCCCTCCCATCAACATCTAAGGTTCTCAGCTGAATCATTCCTTCTATGCAGTACATTTGCATGTGCCCATCTCATTTTTAAAACAAATATTTAAATCATAGTAGTTTTCTTTCATCAAAATATCACAATTAAGTAAACCTAGATGTAATTTTTAATCAATTTCACCAGTTTGGTTTGAGCGTATATTACCATTTTTCCATAAGTGAATAAAACACTTACCTAACCCTAACATTCTAATTGAAATATTTCAAACAAAGCATGTTTGTAATGTTGTTTTTATTGATAACCAAATTATAGGTTTTCCTTGTGTCCTCAGTTTCACTTTACATCCTGTTAAGGTGATGATCCACAGGGCAACTTTTTAAGCAATGTTGCTGGGCAATGTTGCCGTCAACGGGCAACCAGATGAGACACAGGGCCCACGACCGATCTAAATTATCCAGATAGAAATGTATTGCCCATTTTCAATGGGAAAGTGCCCAAGCAACAATTGCTTGGCAAGATTGCCCAGCAACATTGCTCAAAAAGTTGCCCTGTGTATCATCACCTTTAGTCTTTTGTAATGCCCATTTATATAACAAAAGCCACTTCCGTAAAGACTTCATTCTACAGGAAGTGATGATATTTTGGAGGGAAAACAACAGCACAAGCTTCAGTGAGTATTAACAATGGCCATGTACACACTGCAGTTCATTTGGATTGTAAGTTCACCTTTTAGTGCTTAATTCCTTTCTATACACACACAGTTCAGTAATTCTCGAGAGTGACAACCGCATTCTACAACCGAATTAACTACAACTAAAAATGCAAGTGGTGACAACCGCATTTACAAAAAATTCTACACAGTGTTTACGGAACCAAACTAAACAACTAGTTGTTAATGGCATATTTAAACGCACATCAGAGATGTGTGTCTCTCTTATGTGTGCGGTGCAAGAAAACCACTGAGAAAATCACAAGTGTTAAGAGCGTTGACTCATTTGGGTTGCCAGATCTTGCTGGAAAAACAGTGAACAAGAACAAGCCCACAATAAACCGAGAGAAATCAAAATGCTTTACTAAGAACAAGACCAAAATATCGCGACCTGCACCTGCCCACTTTAATATCCCCATAAACTTGATCGCTTTATGAACCAAACCTAAAAAACAAGCCCAAAAACGCTTATAACAAGTGGAAATGGCAAAACTTCAAAAGCGCCCTCTGCGAAGCGGCCTTACAAACAGAAACAAAACATGACGCCTCTGTAAACGGTGGTTTAGTTAAAATTGCAGAACAAAACGAGTCTTTAGTCGCTGTAATATTACTTTTGTCAAAAATAGTGGATACCAAACATGCGAGATGCCAGAACTTTGCTATGGTTAGCTACCATGCTGTCAATCATCACAATTTTGGGAGTACACACACGGAACAGTAATTTAAGGGATTCACTCCCGTATTTAAATGCAGTTGTCACTCCTGAAACTATTTTGTGAGATTAATTGTTTTATCTAAAACATTTTATCCAGTTTGATAAAATCACAGAAATTGGTATGATGTCATCCTTTTGAAAGTTACAAAATTTCAAAATGTTTCAAAAAAGTTGAGTCCTTCAGTTTTTTCCCAACTTTAGCTCTTTATTTATGTCTTTTTAGGAATCATGTTTATTTTCTTGGCTTTGAGTAAAATCAATGTTATGCTTTTCAGCCTTATCTTCTCAACAAAGCATATTTCTGAATGTTTGGTATATATATATTTTTTTTAGAAAGATTTCTTTAAATTCTAGCATAAATATTTGTATTATTATTTTAAGTTACAGAGTTTTGAAAGTACTGCATAACAGGAATGCCTCAACGAAGAGATTTAGAGAAAAGAGAACTGCCATTGTGTCATAATAACAAAGAGTTCTGCGTGTGTGTGCCCTGACATATGCCTCTCCTGGCACACCGTCAGAGCCGACTGTTTGTGGAACATTATGAGCAGGTGTCCTTATGTATAATTAGTGCTTCCTCCACTCCACATGCAGAGAAGCCTGCAAGTCCTCCCAAGCTGCTATTAACACAAGCCCACCTTCTTACTGAACACGATATCTTTAAAACACACACACACACACACACACATTCTGCCTTTTGGAAGTGATAATATGATTTACACTAGAGATGGGAATCAAGGCAAATTTAATCATTTTAATTCCAAATCTACTCAATGGTTCCATTATATTTAATGGTATCAATTTATCATTAAATCATCAGAATTATTATT